TGCTCGCAGTGCGGAGTGGCAATGGCGTCTCTGTGCTCTGCTGGGGAGGAGCAAAGCCCAGCACACAGGGGCTTCACTGTCCTCTGCGGACTTGTTTTGCTCCCTCTGGCTTTTAAATACCGTTGGGAATTTTGGTAGCCCATCCTGGAAAGGAAACCTCTCATTTGAGCCTTCCCTTCCCAGAGCTTCGAGGAGCCAACTGGGAGGTCTGGCAGGGTGCCTTTGGGCTGGCTGGAGGCCGAGGAGGGGAGCACAGTAGGGCTGCAGGGGAGTGGGTGAGGCTGGGACTTCCCCGCACCACCAGCTCCCTGGTCCCCAGGACCGACCCTGTCACCTCCTTTCCCTCTGCCCCTTTCCACCCGGCCACATGGCGCTCACCTTCACCCTCACTTCTGCCCACACACCTGTCATCCTGCCCATCTACTTTCTTACTCCTGCCCCGTGTTCCTGGGGGCCCTTCCATGGCGCCCTGAATCAGATTTTATGTACAGTAAGCACCCACCCTGCAGGCTCCAGACACATCGCTCGTGGCCCGCTGGTGTGCACGGTGGGGAAGGGGCTTCTGAGATAATGGTGGTCTCAGCCTCCATCCTTCCTTATCCCCTTTGATGACACCTTAGGCCAGGGGTTCTTAACACTACCACACACTTTTAAATCTGCTCACACGAGGCCCAGTGCTCCAGTTCATCACTCCACGGTGACCCCAGTGGACAGCCAGGTCTGAGAACTGCAGATGTCAGTCACGTTGCAGAGCTGATGTGGATGCTGAGGAGTAGAGGGCATGGAGATGTCTGGGCTCTTCCATTGGGTCGCTCCTGATTATCTGACATTGAACAGATGCATGACATACAGCAAAACAAGCGAACATGGCTAGGCCCAGGGCCAAATCTTACTTATTCTATTTGTATGCATGGAGAAGACCCAAATTAAGAAGGGATGTGTAGGAAGGGAGGAAGGCAGAGAGGCAGTGACCCCAGCCCTTGCATGGACTACAGGAGCCCAAGAGTGTACCAGGGAGGCTTTCTGGTTGCCCAGTGAGGCAGCACCCTTTGGAGAAAGGCCTGGCAGAATCCAGAGGGTGTGGCACCAGTTGGGCTGGAAGCCCCGTGCCAGGGCAGGGCAGAGGTAACGAGGCTTGCCAGGGACAGAAGAATGGGGTTTCTGTGCTGCTTATCAGGATGGTGGCTCCTGGACAGGATGTGGAGGAGGCTGTGGAAGCCTCCGCCTGGCGGATGGCTGCAGCCAGCACCGTACCACGGAGAGGACTTTGGACAGGGAGCGCCACCACTGCCTTGCTGGTGACACTGAGGTGGCAGCTCCTTGGCACCTGGCATAAGTCTCCCTCCCATCTGTACACATGGGGGACATTTTCTAGTCTTTGGCCATCTGCTGGGGCCAGCTACCAAGTACCAAGTCCTCATTGTCAGACAAGCCCTGGTTGGAGCCCTTGTCCTTCCTCACTGGAAAGAGCCCTTGGATCCAAGGCTTGGCATAAGGACAAGAAAGCTGGTTGTGTTTACCCAAACATTTGGGGGCACAAGAGAGCACCGAATGAAGATGAGGGGAAAGGCCCATCATAGGGGACTCTGAGTAGACAAGGCAGGAGTTAATGAGATGTTAGCAAGAATTTGCCTTTGTGGCTTGTTTCTTCCACAGCAATATACTTCAAATGTCCCTTCCTCCTGGACTAAGGAGCCCCAAGTCTGTTAAGACACAACACTAGTAGAAGTTCATAGACGTCTATAGAATACACTGTAGTTCTGCCCAGGGCTGCTTAGAATAGGCTGCTTGGGGTTCTACATCTTGAACAGGGATTGTCAGTGTGTCTTGAAGCTGGATTTGGAATCATAGACCTGGGGCCCAAGAGGACAAAAAGTGAGGCTGTTGACTCAGATCCTAAACCCTACTCCTCAGAGGTGGACGCTCATCACGCTCCTTGGCAGAGACACACAGAAGGAGAAGCTAAGGCCTTCTGAGGGAGAAAGGAGCTCAATCCTTTTATGCTGCCTTATGGACTGACTGGGCGCTGATGGTTAGGGACCCAGAAGAGGAGGAAAAGTAATATGGCCCATCTGGGCCTACTGCTTCGTGTAAGTGCATACTTTAAAAGCAAGGAACAGAACAATAACTTTTGCCTAAAAACCTCTAGCTAGATTTCTTTTTTAAATTCTATCTAATTTCTCCTAATCCCCCTTCTCTTCTGTTAAACTGGGACAGAGCAGGGGTACTGGGAGGGTGTGTAAGCCACAGTGGACTTCCTGTCCTGTCCCTCATCTGGTAGAAGGACCTCTGATAAGAGAGTAAGATTGTCCCAAGCTTAGGGACAAAGCTTTAGAGCAGCCTTGAGAGCTCTTTATCCAATGAAGATTTCCATACTGGAAGCACAGTGGAACAGGAAAGTACCCTACTCCCTCCAGCAGCGCCATGTCCTCTGTGCCTAGAGAATTATCCAGTCTCCAGTACCCACTTACACCTGGTGGGGTTGGAACCTGGAGGTGACCAGAGAAAGGAGGAGAAGCAAGAGCCCATGCCTCCTGGGAGCTTCTGTGCAGCCCAGACAGGCCAGCCAGCGCACCGGGGCCCGGTACCAGACTTTCATGATGCCCAGCCGTCCTCACCAAAATCTTATACACGATGTCCCACCCTTACCTCTTCGCTGGTTGCAGGCCACATGGTAGACAGCGTCTGGCTGGTGCGTGTGAAAGGCTAGCATGGCATCCTGCCAACACCTCCACCCTTCTGGGGTCCCAACCTTGACTCCACTCCCTCTACTGCACTAGGCATTCTCCCAGTGGAGAATCTCTGCAGGGACTCTGGCTCTGCGGCAGACTTTCTCCTGGCCTCCCAAGCTGTCCTTTGAAATCTCAGTGGAATCCACCATGGACCCAGGATTTGGACTTGAGAAATCCAGTTGTCCCAAACTTTCCTACATAGATAGCTGTGATAACCTAAAGAAGAACAGGGTGGGCCCAGGGTCTGCAGTTCCATCTTGTCCAATCTTTCTGCAGCCACTGAACTATTCCAGCCCACCACCTGTTCATGTAAATAAAGTTTTATTGGAACCCAGCCATACTCATTTATTTATGTATTGTCTGTGGCTGCTTTTCCACTACAGTGGCAAAGTTCAGCATTTGCAACACAAATTCAGTGGCCCACAGAAACTAAAATATTTACTCTCTGGGCCTTTGCAGGAAACATTTGCTGTCCTTTAGATCATGGGATGAGGCAAGCGTGTGTCTGAGTCCCTCCTAAAGAAGTAAAGGGAGAGCAGCCTTAGGTAACATGGATGGAGGTTTGGCAAACTCGTGGGAGAGAGCAGCAGAGACTGAGTGCTGGAGCACAGGCCTTACAGCACATGCCTGGGCCAGTGGGGAGGGGCTGTCTTGTCTCCATTTTTAGGAACAGTCCTTGCCTACAGTCTATCAAGATGAGCTCAGTGGCTCTGCTAACTCTTAAGACCTCATAGCAGCTCCCCTATTAAGGAGCTAATAATAAATTCCCAGATACCATCATTTTGATACCCAAATGGGTAGGTGTCGAGGGGAGACATTGTAAAGCTGTCGAGAAGGGACAGGATGAGAGTTAATGACATGAACCACGTGCCAGCTAAATGTTTCCAAGTTCAAGGTTCTGGGAGGATCAGTCTTTTTCTAAGAGTCTCCTTGACTGACCCTGGGGTGGGTTTTCTGAATGGTGAGGCCCCCACCCATGAAGCATGTATGCATGGAGGTGGGATAAAGGTGAACCCAGGTGAGCTGCAGTCCCCAAACCAAATGAGGATTAAATATTAAATACTGAGAGCCCAGCCTGGCAACTTAGAAACTTAGACCCTGTCTCAAAATAAAAATGGTTGAGGATGTAGCTTGGTGAGAAGGCCCTAGGTTCAATCCCCAGCACTGAAAAAACAATTAACCATAGGGGATTACCATTGGTATTCTGTGCTGGAGACTGGAACAGAGACATAGCTAGAGCCAAGCGATGACCCTTTCTGAGACCTTTGTTGATCAGATGAGCCTTCCGGGGAGGGGCTGCCCCTTGTGCCCATTTAGCCAAGGTGGCATCTTGCCGGGGGAGATGGTCTCCAATGTCCTTCCTGTGGCACTCAGACTGACCATTCTCCGTCCCTTTGTGCCTTTGCTTCCTCTGTGAGTTGACATTTGGTTGATGCACAGCTGTATGCAGCGTGTGCAATAAGGGTTCTTCCCCTACATGCACTATGAATTAGTGATTACATGCGCATGCCTTGTGTTCCTGGCTAAATCACGTGCTGAACGTGTACCAGTCTCATTGTGCTTTGCCCTCCCTCTGCATGTCAGTTCTTGATTTGTGTACAAAGCAGGTTTTCAAAAACAGGCACTGGCCAGTCACACGAGGGGTGACTGAGTCACACGGCACCGTCACCCCAGTGTAACACAGAGACAGGAAGTGAGAGGATGGCAGTGTGCACCACCCAGAAGTGCAGCGATTGCGTCAGACCCCAGCCAGATCTGCGCCACCATCAGATTGTGCAAATGTACTCCGCTGCTGAACTTGCTTCTGGGTAAAATGTGATATACCCATTCCTGTACCATAGAGATGTATCGAGCACTTCATACGTGCTAGAACTTTACAGGCAGCACTAGGCCACTGGGCCACACGGCAGCTAATCAGGATGGATGTTATTATCCCCAGGTTATATACAAGGTATGGAGGCGTAGAAAGTGAAATGATTTTTGTGGAGTGGTGCGGCCAGCCTGGTGCCCAGCCAGCGTGTTCTCTGCTGCACTGCAGCACTCCAGTGTCACCACACCAGGACACTGATGGGGAGACAGATCTCTGTCACTCCTGCCCGCAACTTGTGCTGTCCACCTACACGTGGGTCCTGACCGTTCTCTCTGCCTATCACAGGTCCCCACCCAGCTCCCTACACCAAAGAAGGGCTTTTGTTCCAGCCAGAGGCCCTCATCTGTGCGGTTTCACAGCTGCAGATAAGAGCTTCACATACCTTCTTGATTTTTCAGGAATTTGGCCATTGGAATTGGAATCCAGAATTTCCCAGAGGGCCTGGCTGTCAGCCTCCCTTTGCGAGGGGCTGGCTTCTCCACCTGGCGAGCTTTCTGGTGAGTGCCCCAGTGCGCTGATGCCAGAGGCAGGGCTGTGTCTGGTGTCAAGTGCTCAGCTCATGTCCTGTGTTCTGCATGAGCTGCTTTCTGTGAGACCAGTTGCTTCTTGGAAGCCAATCGGGAGCTTCTGATAAAGTGCCCATAACGCAAGTGACTATTGTCCCCCGAGGCTGGGGAACATCCTGACCTTCCACCTCTACACACCCCAGCCGGAGTGGCCGTGTCCTATTTCAACACGTCTCCATGGATGCACACCATGCCCCTCAGTGTTGGGTTATCTCACCTTTGGGTTTGTGTACTTTAAATATCACATGCATCAGGTGATACTTTGCCATCACCTGGCCCCAGGAGTCACTCGAATGGCTCTTGTTATACAATCATCAGTGTGAAGACCAGCACGAGGCGATGATGAACATTGCACCCGCTGATTTTCTCTTTCCCTGAGGGCCTTCTAGTCTGTTCCCTGACTGCCCTTCAACATCCATGTCCCATTTTCAAGGGAAGGAGCTGTGGGCCAGGGGTTCAGACAGCCATCTTGAGTCACCTGGATCATCAGTGATGACACCGAGGTTGGAAGCCCAATATGTAGAAGGTTTTCTGCCCTGTGATCAGGGCTCCAGACCTCAGTCACTTGTTGGATGAAACAATCACTAACTCTACAATATATGATAAGAGTGCTTAAAAGGTCTACTAATAACAATCTTAAAATGCTTTCTATTGTGTAGGGCCTTAGGACTTACTAGTTGGTGTACGTACTTCTTTTGTGATCTCTGAATAGGGGATTTGGGCAAGGACAGGGCAAGGTGGCCATAGAGTTTGGGGTTTTTTTAAATACAGAGACTATGAGTGTCATTTCATACAACTGAAGCACCAGGAAGAAGGGGGGGGGCGCGGAATGAAGCTCTTATGGTGACATCCAGACCCTGGGATAAAACTTTTTTCTCCCTGTCTCACTCCTGCCTGGGCATGACATCAAATCCCCATTTTCCTGGGGTGACAAATCCAAGGCAGGAATTGTACAAACCAAAGAGTACCCAGTTCTGCTGGTCTGTGAACAAAAGCATGGGGAGCCAGCAAGCAATGACCCCTTTAGAGGACTCCCCAGTAAAAAGAGGGTCTCCCCATGCCCCCTGTCTGTCCCCAGCCAGGGGGAAGCCGAGGGTGGGAGGTGTGCACCAACCCCACAAGTTCTCTGCTTGTCTGGGAAGCTGGGAAAGGGGACCTCTCTCATCTCCACTTTACAGGCGGAAGGACTGAGGCTCAGAGGCAGTGTGACTTGCCAAATGCCTGCTGCAAGAAAGCTGTCCCAACTACTGCTGCTGCTGCTTCCTTTCACCCTTCTCCTTCTTCTTTTGGAGACAGTCTTGCTATGTGGTTCTGGCTGTACTTGAACTCAATGTGTAGCCAAACTCACAGTGCTTCTCCTGCCTCAGGCCCATGCTTGCTGGTCTTACAGGCATGAACCGCCATGTCCAACTCTAGCCGTCCCGACTTCCCGCCTAGTGCTGTTCCCTTAGCAAGTGGCATTTGCCTGTGGGGCTCATATGCTGACTTACCTTCTGCTCTTGAAATTCTCGGTGCTCATGAGTGCTGCTGTTTCTATGGAGCTCATTTGTTTTCAAGCTGTGGAGAATCATTCTTGCTAGCATAACTAAAGGGATTTGTTCAAGGAAGAAATCTCACCTTGATCTCGGGCTCGAGGGGTGGGCTGTTAGTACACACGTGGCCAGGTGGGACTGAGGCTGCAGCAGAAGTGGGTCATTGCTACCCCATCAGAAGGGTAGCAGTTGGGGTCTGAACCCCCACACATGTCAGGTACAGCTTGAGAAATGCCTACCCCACTCCAATCAGTGTCTTATCCCTTCATGTAGGCACCCCGCATGGAGCAGAGATGTAACAGGGTATAGCCATACTGTGGGCTGTTCTTTATCTATAAAAAGCACATGCATTGTAAGGTTGAACATTTTGTTAAGTGAAACAAGCTGGTCACAAAGGACCGATATTATATGATTGCATTTATATGCAACGTGCAGGAGCAGTATACAACAGAGGAAAAAATAGATTTTTGGCTTCCAGGGGTCAAGAGGAGAAAGGAACCAGGAGTAGCTGTCAGCGAGCTCAGGTTCTTCCGAAGGTGTGAAAACGTTCTGGAATTAGTGGTGATGATTCCACGACCTTGTAAATATACTAAAAACCGTGGCATGTACAGATTAAATAGGTGTGCCATATAGGATGTGAATTATGTCTCAATACCAATGTCAGTTTTAAAAGACGGGGTCTGAAATGTAAAACTCTAAAGGAAATCGAGGGCGGGGTCCGCCATACTCGTTTCATAGGGAGCCGAGGAGGAGGAGATGGTCGTAAGACCGTGACTTGCTTTAGCACGGCTATGCTCAGATGTGACCCAGAATGACACACCTCTGTAGGCATGGGGGTCGCCTCCAGCGGCCTGTGTTTCTGTTCCTTCCCTCCCTAGGTACGGGCAGCTGAGCGGCATGGTGGAGCCCCTGGCTGGGGTCCTTGGTGCCTTTGCTGTGGTGCTGGCTGAGCCCGTCCTGCCCTACGCTCTTGCCTTTGCTGCTGGCGCCATGGTTTACGTGGTCATGGACGACATTATCCCAGAAGCCCAGATCAGGTGGGGAGCTTGTCCTCCTGTATGCTCCTGGCCACCCTTCCCAGGGTCGTCCCTCTACACCTGTGCTCTCTGGGACGGACAGAGAGAAAAGGACAGGGGGGTCAAGACACGGGTGATATTAAGCAGGGGCGGAAGTGGGGCCTCTGCTCGCTTGATGAAATAGGCTATTTCCCTTTGGAAGTGCACACTGCAGAGGAGGCCCCTGGCCTAGGCAGGGTCTCGGGAGGCACTGAGGTCTTACTGATCTTCCTCTCCTTCTCTCCTAGTGGTAACGGGAAGCTGGCATCCTGGGCATCCGTCCTGGGATTCGTGGTGATGATGTCACTGGATGTGGGGCTGGGCTAGGACCGAGACCCTTCAGACCCCAGGAAAGGCAGCACCAGACTTCTCTGGGACCACAAACCTCTTTCTTCACATTAAAACCCTGTTCCTTTTTCTCCTCTTCATCTCAGTATCCCCATCTGCTCTGGTGAAAATCTGACCCTTTTTCCTTCGTTTGTGAGGGAGACACTGGCTTTCTTTACAATCTCAAGGTGTCATGGAACTACAGGGTTTTGTTTTGCCCACTGAAGGAATCTTCCTTCGGTGGGATTGCCAAGGACATACAGATCAGGGGAGTCTCTCCTCTCCTCCGTCAGATTCCCTCACAGCAACCCCTCAAGGTCACCCGCAGAAGTTCCTAGAAGAAGTCTCCTAAGCATTTAGGCCTCAGGCTCAGAGCAGACTGGCCAGCAGCCCTTCTGCTTCTTCAGTGCAGATCCTCTGCCCACCTAGAATGCAGGAACCAGAGTATTGTGAACACAGCACCCTCTTTCAGAGGCTGAGCCAGGTGGAAGATGAATGCTACTTCCTCTCCCTTCCCCCAGGGAGATGGTCAGGGGAGGGGTCACACACAAAGAATCGTCAGCCAGTCTGCTTGTCCTTTTTCTCTTAAGGCCAAAATCTTCATTGCTGATGTTAAAGGGATTCAGAAATCAGAACAACTATGAACACAGTGAGCCCTGTGGAAAGAGGAGTGTGGCTTTGAGCAGAGGCCTCTGTTCTCAAAATGGGTTCCAAGAGCAGAATATTTGTCATGGTTCCCAAACTCCCAGGCATTAATTTTTTTTTAAGCTTATAGGTTCCATCTTTCTAAGAGACTTGAGGATACCAGCAAATTGCTAGAACTCAAACTCTTCACTCACTAACGGAGGGAGCTACTGAGGTTAACTAAAGTGAAGGAAGGGCATTCAGAGTCTACAGTGGCTCCTTCCCCACTGAGCATTCGGCAACTTATCACCCAGCCAAGGACCCTTGAACTGCAATGAGCTTCGCTGGAGTCTGGCCAGAAGGCTTAGGGTGGGACAGGAAGAAAGGTAGAAGGAGGAGAGATATTTTTTTCATTTCCCTTTTAAAGTAAATTTTAGCCAAGTTATTCTGAGAGGACCATAAAGAATAATTGGACCTAGACTAGAAGCCAACCTACTCTTCATACACACACCTTGTCCAGCCAGAGGGACAGGACCTGTCTGCTTCAACAGCTAAGAACAGCTAAGGCCTCTGTTCTTCTTGATCAGAGGAGCCTGTGGGATTTTGAGCGGACTCTGCCACAAAGGCAGGTAGCCCAAGAGCCAGGCATTCAGACCTCGTGTTATCAATCCCTGCTCTCCGAGTTTACATGTCCAATTGGTTTCAAGGGTGAACCTCCTGCTCTGTGAACGCTCTAAGACCATGAAAGCCAACCTTGTGCTGGGTCTGTGTATGTTCTTCCAAAGCACTGATGATCAAAACTGAAGACACATTCAGAGCTTTGACTGGTTGACATTAGCTGGGTTGGTGGTTGGTGTATGTGTATGTTTCATTGTTATATGTCTTTGTATGTAGTTCTACATAATGCAAATTGTTCTTTCTGCTGGATAAGACCTCGTAACTGTGATTAATATTAATAAAAGGAATATTGTTGTGGAAGAGCTGTGTAACGTTCAGTCCTTCTCAAAGCTGCTTCTTTCCTGGGATGGTAATATATAGTTGAAACTAGCATTTCCCGTACTCAACACCAAAAGGAAATCTCAAATGAGAAGGGCTGGTCAGATCCTTGGTTGCAATTGACAGCATTCAAGAGGAAATTAACAAAAGGCTATTAAAGAAATCACAGTATCTACCAGAAATCAGGCTTGGAAATGGGTCTAGAGGTCTGGGATCATGGCCTAATCACATCTGGGGAACTCGGCTTAGGTGTCTTGACTTCTAACGCTGGCCCCTAGATACCAGGCACCATCAAGGTGATGGATGGAAATAATCTAGTTGGCAGAGCTGAGATTCTGTGCCCATGAACTAGCTGGTCTTGTCCCTTGCCAAGATTCACATAATAGGTTTTCCAAAATTTGGAATGAGTTCAGATGATACCCAAAAGAAGAAACAAAGTTCGTTCCCCTATTTTTGCTTTTTAAAAAAGTGTTTGGCTGAGAAAATGTAGCTATTCCTTCTACAATCAAAGCTTCACTCATCCCCTTTCCAAAGGGAGCTACCATGGTGCTCTGTGCTTTGTCAAGTCCTGTACCGGGGTCTCTGAGTAATGTCCACTCCTCCCCAAGTTGAGTCACAATCCCATATCGTTGTTTCTACCGTCTTCGGGCTGCAGTGTCAAGTGAACAATAATCATATACTCTGTGTGTAATAGAATGAATAAAGAGGAAGGAAAGACAACAAATTAAAATAATGACATATACACATGGCACAAAAAGGAACGTAGGGGCTGCAGCTCTCATTTCTTCCTCTGGAGAAAAAAATCTGGATGATCTTTAGGTTCCCCACTTCCGGGTTCTCTTCCAGGTCCTGCTGTCTTCAGCCAGTACTTTGCACGGATGGGACACACTGCACAGCACGACTTTGTGCCCCCTTCCCCAGAGCACACACCGAGCTGGTCCTGTCTGTGTGCAGGATGGCAGTGGCCTTCCTTCAGCATTCATCCTTTGAGTGGTTAGGGGAGGAGAGGGCTCCTAAAAGGACACTGAGTTTCACTCCTAGTCCCCATCATGGCCTGGGCCCCACAAAGCAGCTTTGATATTTTGCCAGGAGTTGTCTACACAGTCAGTATCATAACCCACATGTTTTTTTAATAACTTTATCATCAAACACACACACATACAAAAAGTTAAAACTATTCAAAGAAGAACAATGCAAGGGGAAAATACTACAATAATATTCAAATACAGTAGAGCTCAACCAAAAAAACCCTGAAAAACACTTAAACATTTTTCCGTATAACTTTAAAAAAAATCTCAAGCACCAAAAAGACACCAGAGGATGTGATTTGTTTCAGAAAGATCCCCAAAACCAACACTGAACAAATAATGATCTGGAAAAAAACTCCAGTTAGCAGACTCCACGTAAACCAAACTTCTCCCTAATTTAAATTTCGAAAGTCATATGACATGCGATGGAAACCCAATCCGCAAAATATGTTGTTAGGCCATTTCATCCGTGTGTATCTTTATTTACACTTTCAGTTTCTCACACTAGAAAAACTATTTGGTATTTACACATGTGTGTCCTATTTATTTCTCTTAAGAAGATGGCCTCAATGTGCACCCATTTAGCTATAAATGTCTCTAGTTTCTCATTTTTCATGGCTGAGTAGTACTCCATTTTATAAAAAACCCACATCTTCTTTGATATTTTTCCAGGACTTGTCTACACAGTCAGCATCGTAACCCATATATTGTTTTTAGTTTTTATTTTCTGTTATTGCATATTCGTAGTACATAATGTTTCCATTCCTTGTGGGGGGTTGGTTCGTGTCCTTAACATATCTCAATTCTTTTTTCATCTCCTTCCTCTCCCCCTTCTATTTCTTGATCCCCTTTCCATTTGAGGAAGATCTATCTTCTGACTTCCTATTATCTATCTTCCATTTTGCTCTCTATTTATATTTTGGGATCCTTATATAAGAGAAACCATGTGATGTTTAAGCTTGTGTCTGATTTATTTCATTTAATATTATGGTCTCAAGGTGCGTCCATTTTCCTACAGATGACTCAAATTTATCCTTTCTTACGGCAGAGTAGTAGTCCCTTGTGTGTAAATATCACATTTTCTTTATCCATTCATCTGTTGATGGACATAGAGGCCACTTCCAAGATTTAGCCCTCTTTAGCCCTGTCCACCTAAAAGTGTATGAAACTCCCAATGGCTAACTGACATGAGACTGTTACTGGGTCATCTTTTCTGTTCAGCCCCTATATGTACTCCAATTCCTCTATCTTCACTTCTGTAGAAAGTTTCTGGAGTTAGCCCTCATGCACATACTACAAATCCCCTTTCCAAAGGGGCTTCCCAGTGGCCAGCAGCCCCCATGGTAGGTGGCACATTCCTTTTGTGGGCACTAAAACTTTAAAGTCAGAAGAAACTGTCACATACAGAGTAGATCGTCTTATCCATTTCATTATTTGATTGGTTTTATTTTTTTCGGTGCTGGAGATTGAACCCAGGGCCTCACATACTAGACAAGTGTTTTATTGCTGAGCTCTATACCCAGCCCAGATGTTTTATTTGGTTGTTTTTATTTTTCATTATGTCCACTTAATTAATAAGAGGATCCTTTCTGTAGTGGGGAATTCAGTGCAGTTCCTTGTATTTGAGGAACAATTATTTTCAAATTGGGTCTGTTCTGGGAGTTGAATCATATATATTCCCCAAACCTCCAATCTTGCTTCTTCTTTCAAATTCTCAACTATTTGGCCAGACTGTTTGTCCCTGTTCCTGAGGTGGAAGAGGTTCTTGCATCACTTTCTTTCCTTCCAAGTGAAGTGAACACAAAGACATGTAAGAGGCTGTCCCTTCCCCACGACCCTTGCTAGAACCTACCGTCCCAGAATTCTGTTCTGAGATCGTCCAGAGTATCCCATGGACCACTGTGAGTAAGATGCTTCAGTTCTTCCTCTCCTAGCCATAGATCCTAGGGACACTCCCCCAGGGGCACTGTTACCTTTATGAAGAGGCCAGGGGTGACACATGAGGACCAAGCCACCTACAAAGGGCACTTATTTGTGCCTTCAGGGACCCATCAGGCTTAGTGCCATATCAACCATTTCCAAGTGTGAATAGGATTTTTGTGAGTTAGATAATCCAGTACATGGTGCACAACTGAGACTCAGAATACTGGAGCAATCACCTGGGCCTGAGTAGTCAGGGACCCCAGGGCTCAGAAGTCACTCCCAGCTTCCTGCACTGGCATATACATCTGGCTTCTTGTCACCAGTATCTATATCAGTAACTTGCGACCAAGATGTTCTTCCATCCATTGTTGAACAGCCTAACATACCATTCTAACACATATTTCCCCAAATTTATGAATAAAAATAAGGAAAATCCTGAAATTGATCCAAGTATGGTGGTGAGCACCTTGTAATCCCAGTACTCTGGGAAGCTGAGGCAGGAGGATTGTTCAAGTCCAGCCTAGGCAATTTAGTGAGACCTTATTTCCAATAAAAAATATTTGACCAAAGGGCTGAAGATGTAGCTCAGTATGAAGGCCCTGGATGTATTCCCAGGACTGCAAAACAAAACTCCTGAAGTTATGTGGGTTTCTAAGCCTTCCCCTCCCTGGCTTGGGTTTGCCACTTCGTGCCTTCCCCCCCACCCCCACCCCTCCACCCCCCCCACCCCCACCCCGTATAGCTTGGGTATAGTGTGTGTCTCCCAGAGATTCACATGTTGGAAGTTTGGTCTTCAGTATGACAGACAATCTTATGAGGTAGTGGGACCTTTCAGAGGTGGGACCTCCTGGGACTTCATTATATCATAGGGAAAATCACTCTCAGAAGGGATACAGGTGGTTAGTGCCAGAGACAGACTGTCATGAAGGAGTGAGCCTGGCCCCTCCCTGTGCTTTGTCTTCCTGTGTCGCCATGTGATCTCTCCTTTTCATACATGTTGTCACCATGACACCATCTTACACCTCTCACCAGAGGCTGAACCGACGAGGCCACGTGATCCTGGACTATCGGCTTCCAAAACCATGTGGCAAGTAAACATCTTTTCTTTATAAAGTACCTGCCCTAGGAATCTTGTTACAGTGACGGTAAACTGACGAAACACTTTCTTCTGAAGTAGGCTGGGATATAACTGCACCACACCTGGGCACCATAGAGGGCAGTACACATGGGGAACTGATGTTCTGCTTCAGGGTGGCTCCAACAGACAAGGCAAAGGACTTATCATGTCTTCACCAAGTGCTGCAGAAGACAGAAGAGAGGCTTGCAGGGACAGAGGGGGCCCTTTGAGGGTTGATGAGTCAGAAGACCCCAAATTTTTCAAATTCTCCCACGTATCTCTGCCCTGTCTCTGGGAGACATGCCTTCCTGATCACTGCTCCAATTTTCTTTGAAAAAGCAAAGATTTTACCAGTGTAGAAATTCAGCCAATCCTCGGGATCCAACTTACCTTTGATTTTCTGATTTCTCAACTTCATGGTTGAAAGAAGTAAGATGTTTCATAGAAAGCCCCAGGTCTTAGTCTCTTCCTTGAGTCAGGATTTGACCTTGCCAATGTCTGCTTTACGCTGCTGGCATTGCTTGACAGGACTGCCTGTCAGGCCCCAGGCCCTCAGCTGGTGGCAGAAACACCCCATTCCCTCCAGGCTGAGCCCTTAGTAGCCCCTTTCCAGGAGGCTGGTTTGACAGTAGGGAGGTCAGGTAGGTGTTAGCCCTGGGTCCCTTTAGTGCCCTGAGTCCACCATCATTATCCCTACTGCGCCAGGCAGAAGATGGGGCTCAGGAGGTCTTATGGCCCATGTGGAGCCGGGTGGACACACCTTGAGTATTCGAAGGCGCACGCACAAAGGCAGCAGAATGCAGAAAGGGACTTCCCAACCCCCTCACTTGCAGCAGTTGGTTCGGTGGGGCCAGGTCCTGCATACCTAAGACCTTAGGTTACTTAATCCTGTGAAAGTTGGAAGCAAAAGGGAG